TCTGAAAAATATGACTTCGTCAGTTGGGATGATAAAATTCCCAATCTATGGAAAGTCATAAAATTCCATGGTTCCAAACCACCAACCAGATATATAAGTCCATATTACCATCTGGTTATTTAACATAGCCATGGAAAATCACCATGCTATTAATAGGTAAACCATCTATTTCTATGGGCCATCTATACCATGGCTATGTTAGTCATAACCAGAGGGTCAAATCCCGATTTCTCTCTTTCAATCCACTTGGCGGCAACGGAAACACAAAGTGGGCGCCGAGTCACAACGGAGCTCCAGCATCAGCGGCCGACGGCCGGCAGGGCCGGCAGGGCCGGCAGGGCTGGCATTGGGACTGGCCTGGAACGATAGGAGATGCTTCAGATGATTTACCATTGTGGTATACGTAATGGCTAGCCCCAACTAGATTTACATCATATTTATTACCATAGTTCGGATGTTGTTTTTTGGTAATGATTATATTATATTATATATGACTTCTCCATCCTTGGGATTTATGTGGACTTTAAATGGATTATATAATATATATATACATAATCATACTTAATACTTAAACCAGAAGATGTTTGTTGTCTTCGTTTCACCCCTAGTTTCGGATAGATCTATCCCCCCCAAAAAATGCAATCGTGAAATTAGAGAAATATTCACCAACTTAGCATTTGCGGACACCACCGCTGTGGGAACGGAGCAAGAGATAGATATGTTTTTGTTTTTTTTTTGGGGGGGGGACTTACTATTGAAACCCATTGAATCTTGGAGATTCCCATTTTAAGAAACCACCATATGCATACAAACATATGTTCAGCATGCATCTGGGTAAATTATAATAATTCACTAACCTGAATTAAGGCCATTTGGGGATGATTCCTCTTATTAACCATGATTCCAGCGAGGTCGCAGTGAGGTCGTTATAATTTACCCAGGGATTTCATATGACGAAACATTGTTGGGAATTCGTGTGGATTTTTTTTGTACCTAACGTTGAAAAACAATGGTCTTAAATGGATATTTAATGGGATTGAAATGCGTTTATATACTGTACTTGGGAGATAATATTCGGACATATCACCAAGCAGCGGTTGGGTTTATGGTGGGTTTATGGAACCAATAGAAAGTATATAATACTGAAGACAACATAAATTGGGATTTACGTCAGGAACTGGAACCAATGATCAGTCAGCAACTTGTCTGGGACCCAGCTGGCTGGACTGATCCAAGTAACCGGGCTGATGATCAATAAAAACACCCAACTAATACGTCCTTACAGTGTATTTGTTTTTTTTCCGACTTAGAAGAACAGGCCAACTTCAACTGTAGAGATATCATAAGATGTATATATAATATACTATTACATACTTATATAATAATCATATATATATATATGAGTAGCGGACAAAATTATATGTTTATGTTAAATTCAATGCCATGCGCAAATCAGGGTCTTCCCCTATGGGTTGTGAGGATTTCAGCATTCCCGGAGGTATCACAAATGGGCTATCGGTATAGGGTCGTCCCCTATCGGATATGAAGGTTTTGTGCAACTTCGAAAAGGCCAAGGCCAAGCAAAACTAAATTAGCATTATACAAATAACTTTGTCGGTTACTCACATATATATATATACATACAAACATATATATATATATTAAGTGTATATAATTTCCAGTTGTAGACGAGACATCAGAGGCCCTAAATTCCGCAGCAGCGCCTGCAAGGATGGTGGCGATTTCGACCTTGACCTGGGCGTTTGTCTTGTGAAGGGAACAGATCGACCGGAAACCCAGATGGTTTCTAGGTGTTTCTAGGAGTTGTTTCTACTACGAAGCAAGGCCAATTTGCAGTTTATCAGTTTATTCAATAAAGGGCGCTCCGGAAAAATTGAGAAACCCTACGTGTATATACACAATATACGTATCAAATTAAGCTTCCAGTCTATCCTATGATAAACCAGCTGAAATGAATATAAATAGGTAGTCGCTAATATGGCTCAAAACACAGGGGTACCAACCCAAAAAGGGAATGTCACTCATGGTCAGTCTGAAGACTCTGAACCATCCAGAGTTTGCAGACTTTGACTCATACCCAGTTCCTGAGCCAAACCTGCTGGGACCTGTTAACACATCGCGACAACATGGTTGTTCAAACTCTGTGTTATTTGGGTTGCTCTATGGTAAACTCATGCTTTCCCGCAGAACATGATCTTCATCGCGGATTTCATCCCACGAGGAACAAGCGGACCTGCATGGGCCACCCAACACATCTCGAACAGGACTGGAGCTCCATCTCAGTGGCAGCCCCTTTTTTGGGATCAATTCTGCCATCAACAAAAACCAGGGATAATTGGGTGCAGTGCAGTGATGATCACCAAACGGTGTGTTGCCATGTTTTTTGCCCATCATGGTATCGCCAGGTGTCATCCCATGGGATTTCTTGATTTCTGGCCAATTTTTTTTAACATGGTCAATATGGGGATGACCACCCCCTGGATTCCAGGGGAACATGGGCCATGAACATGGATTTCCATGGCACAATGGCACAACGTGGCCATGTTCATCCAATGGGAGGTGCTTACATGTGCAGGGGATTGTCTCAAAATTGTACCAAAAACTCATCTGGTTGGTGGTTTCAACTGAAAAATGATGGACTTCGTCAGTTGGGATGATGAAATTCCCAACTGAATGGAAAGTCATAACATTCCATGGTTCCAGTCACCACCAACCAGTGATTATTAACCATTAACCATCATTAACCACTATAAAAATGGTATATCCCATTATGATTCCATATAATAACAATATATTAACCATATATTAACCATCATTAACCATATCTTGTCATACATTTGGGGTACACCGAAAACACACGGACAAACCTTGGACTTTTTGAGTCAGGAATCCCAATCTGACTGGTCCCAAAAGAACTCTTCAGTGAGATCATCCTAGGCAGAAATGTCCAACAAAATCAAGCAGCATTGCTGTTGTTGCTTCATATTGCTTAGCTCTATATGAACCTCTGTTGAATCGATAAAGACCACCAATGTCTGAAAATTCCTCCCCAATTCCATAATAATTCATGAAAAAAAGGCTGAACATATCCTTGAAATTGGGGACGGTTCCATAAAATTCATCGAAGTCTAAGAAAAACATAGAAAAACATCTGAACCTAAAACTGATCATGTTCCTTAAGATTTCTCTAGTTAAATACATGTTTTGTAACTTTCCGCCGCTTGAAATCGTGAACAAAATCTGTTTCGGTTTCCCGGTTTGCGATCCCAGAATCGGCACGGGTTTTTTTTGCTGCACCTCGCGACGATGATTGGTGACCATGGTGACCATAAAACCCTCTGGTGATAAAAACAGTTTGCCAACTGGAAAATGGACCAGTCGAAATAGTGGATTTACCTATTAAAAATGGTGATTTTCCATAGTTGTTTGTATGTTTACCAGAGGGTAATAACCATAAAATAGTAACATTCATGACAATTTCTGATCATAATCCGATCATAAACCACTAACATTAAAATGACTATTCATGGTTTAAATTATATAAGTCATTGATTATCTATAGTGACCATTAATAATCATAAACCATGTTGCTACCATTAAGGCTGGTTTACGACTATACATGATTAAATTAATAATCATCATCACCAATTAAATAATGGTGTATGATCAATAGATAGTGACCATTAATAGTACAAATTCATATAACCATTAACGTCATAATAACCTTATATAATTAATCATTCACATTGTAATCATGAACATTAATATTAAAACCATGAACATTAAGACATTGATCACGATGATGTATTAACCATGATGAACATGTAGTTATCTCGGCCATATCTGTGAACTGAACCATGAATTTACTAACCATAAGATAGATTCACTGGCAAAAAAAAACATCCATAGATATTTCGGAGCATCCAAGCATCCGCTCAGTGTAGATGTACCCATCATATTCCAAACAAATGATGTGGGCAAACCTATGCTGTACAAAGATCCATAAATCCAGGACTCATGGTTGCTACCATATGCTACCCATAGAACTGATGACTTGGGGTGTACCCGGTGTACCCCAAGTTATGGCCATGAAATCATAGGCTTTTCCACATAAAGTTTCATTAAACAAATTGCCATGAATGCAACGGGGGCGATTTTTACAAAGCCATGATGAATCATGATACTCCCATAACTTGGGTTTTGTGTAGCACAAAAACAAACAATTAGAGTTTGGCTGACACGTCGCCAGGTGTCACAGGCCCTCTGAAACATGTGACTGTGTTTTCAACAAGCTGCAAATTGATTGATTTGAGTGCCTTGTTTTGCCACTCATCTGAAATTATCAAGGCAAAAATCGCCAAACATCTATACTCTATACTATGCACGTCTGCACATATGGATGCATATTTAGAACATATACTACTTATTACATACATACATACATACATACATACATACATACATACATACATACATACGTACATACATACATACATACATTACATTACATTACATTACATTACATTACATTACATTACATTACATTACATTAATACATACATACATACATACCATTACATACCATTACATACCATTACATACCATTACATACCAGTACATACCAGTACATACCATTACATACCATTACATACCATTACATACCATTACATACCATTACATACCATTACATACCATTACATACCATTACATACCATTACATACCATTACATACCATTACATACCATTACATACCATTACATTACATTACATTACATTACATTACATACATACATAAATATATATATATATACATACATACATATACATATATATATATACATATATATATATATATATATATACAATATGCATATGTATACGCAATATATATATATATATATAACGCATATATGTACCATGACACTATCTAGTTCTATATGATGTTGACCATGTTTTTTTTTCTCAAACAGCTAAATCCATATGGAGGTTTCCTGAAATAGGGGTACCCCTAAATCATTAAAAATCGACCATTTTTGGGATCCCTCATTTATGGAAACTCCATATAAATTATAAACCAGTACAAATCCTCATGTTCTCTGTGAAAAACCCTCCGAAATCATCCAAAAAACCACGGCCGGCCTCGGAACACCTGGCGATGATGCGTTTCGAAGCGGCGGGCAGGGCGCAGGAAATCAACAAAACATTCATCGTTCCCCCCCAAAAATGTTATGCTTATCCAACAAAAATATATGATAATAGGATTAAATGAGGATTACTAGGATTATATTTCACTTATTTCTTAACAACAAGAATATATGACATAAAGCCACAGTATAGTAGGATTCTTGATAGGGATACCCACAAGTGGGCATTTTTCCGAATCAAACAGGGGTGAAACATGCATCAAACTTGATGACATAGACATAATCCAGCATAATCCGGCAACTCTTTGACTCCTCAAAAAATGCGACATGGGACATTTGGGGAGCGTAATCCACCGGGAATCCCCATGACCAACAGCTTTCTGATTTGGGAAATGTCACCGGATGCCAATGGGAGAAGCCAGGCGCCACTACTTATGCTGTGATTCTCATGAAAAATACTGCAAGTTACATAGTGGTAAAACGATATATATATATATATACATAATTATATACATATAAACTAAGCACAACTAAGCAACATACATACCCTCTGGTGACTCTGGTAAACTGTCACATAACTATGGAAAGATCCACCATGCTATGAAGTTCGGTAAATCCACGACATTTCGACTGGGCCGTCTATACCAGTTCGCAAAGTGTTTTTATCATTACCAGGTTGGGTAAGTCCATCATGAAACACATTCCATTTGGGGATGGTCACCATGGTTCCCATCGTCAGACTGGTCATTTGTCGGGTCGCTCTCACCAGATCCCATCAAGTTGTTTTTTTCCTGTATTTCTCAGCAAAAGATGGGTCTATGACAAATTCCGCGAGCACTTGGGAGATTACTTGGGAGTTATTTGGGTATGTCTGACGTTTGATTTTGATCCAAGATATCCAAGCACCATCCATCGCACAAAAAGTCGACTCCAAATCTTCAAAATCTTCAAAAGGGGGATTCACCCATGGTTTTTCTTCACCGGAATCCATGGATTCACCGACGAACAAAAAAGTGTCCAAATGGGCCATCCAGCAGCCGACTGCGGCAAGGATCGGAAGCTCCAACAATGCGACAAAATGTGTCGATCTGAAAAAGGGAATCACACATTGCTGGCAGAAAAATCTTAACCATTGAAAAAGGCTTTTTTCGAGTGAACATGGAGTAGCCTCTGGTCAACATACAAAAATTGAAAAAGGTTTTTTTCGAGTGAAAATGGAGTAGCTGGTCAACATAGAAAAAGCTATAGCTATGACAAAATCCACCATTTTGAAGTTCGGTAGATCAACGAACTAGCCATGTGCCATTGAAAAAAGTTCGCGTTAACTGTTAGTCATTCCCAGAGGATATCATCCCCAAAATGGCTAGTTCCAGCGGGAAAATGATGATGATCTATAGATAATCATATAATATTACCCATCGGATCCATGGTGCTGGTATATATTAATGCATATTAATGCTAACATTTATGGGGTTTTTGTTGATGGGATCCAAGCAGAAAAATAGCAGCACCATGCCATGGATCCGTCGAGACCTGACGAAAACCCAACGAAAAACCCAACCAGAAATGATCAACATATGATCAACTTTCATGGGCGAAGATTTTTCACCATTGGTCACATAAACCTATATGGTATCTCTATAAACCATTTAATTGTATTATAACCATATACAATTAACATTGAATACCATTAACTTTCCAATATATGGTTTATAGTTTATGGTAGATATTGGCAAATATATAGTGTATATGTTGTATATACATATCGCACACTTAAATGTGAAGGGTTTATTTTTACCAACTGAACCAATATCCGAACTTATGAACTGGGGTCCCACGTTTTTTTTGCATCAGCCTTCACAGTTAAACACAACTTGGGAAAGTTTCAAGCAGTCAGACATACCCACGTTAAATGAATGCCAGACACTTCGGAAGTGCCAGCATTCTCGCAACGCTTTAGACGCTTTAGACAATTTCTTGCCATCATTAGGGACGACAAACGTGTGGAGGAGGAGTTTGCCGGGGTTTTCGGCTGAGTGGCCTGAAGTGAAACACGTATAGATCCTAAAATTTACACATAATATAGTGACTTAATAACATACAAATGAGTGTCTATACCCTCTGGTAAACATACAAAAAACATCAAAAAACATCAAATTGGACAATCACCATGAATTTCATGGATAAATCAACGATTTTTGTGAGGCCACCAGCCAGGATCGCGTAACTCGAGCTGTGCGTGTTCTGTACACAGGAGGGGCCGTGGCTGTGGGCAGATTTGGACGATCGATTGAAGCCGTAAAATTATGTAACCGCAATAAATTGGGATCTTCACTAGTTTGGGGCTACCTACAAGAGTTGGTCTTTGAGTTCAATCTTGTTACCAAGGTTGATTTCTATTTTGGTCAAAGTAGACCTACTTCACGTCCAAGATAGTTCGGTATTTGCGACGTGAGCCGACTGATATGGATCCACAAGCAAGGTTGAAAGAAATGACCGACCACTCCAAACGGGTTTGTCTGGAAACAGGGTACTACGAAATCCACTAATACTGGCGAATGAATTACTCATCATTTTGCGTCCTGCAATTTGGGGGTGGATCTCATTTCCGAATTCGGGAGACACCACAAAATTGTTTGCGATCCCAACTGAGTGAGAGTCAATCAGCCCCAATTATCCGTAAATATCTGGACAATGAATTATAGATTAGTATTTCACCAACCTGAACACTTCAGCGATTTGTCAATGATTCCTCATTTCCCAGTTTCGCATCGTTCCGATGACGTCACGCGTACAACGTCAGGGTTCACAACGTCCCACAGAGGTGCACGGTACCATCCCTTGGAAAGAGATCTGGATAGATCTGGAGACTGTGAAGTTCTGCGGTCCTGAGTTCAGACTATAGCGGCTATATGGTTTGAAATCAAAGACGGGACACCATATTTAGATATGCACAATCATGTACATATATATATATATGTGTATATATATATATAATCTATTTATATGTAAATGTAAAAATCAATGCTAATCCACCCGTTGCATGGTCTTGTACGAACTTTGACCCATATGCTTCCTGTTTCAGGACCAAACTTAGCTGTATGAAACGAACACCTTGCGGTATATAATATCTGGTTGGTGGTTTGCACCCCTTTGAAAAATATGAAAGTCAGTTGGGATGATTATTCCCAATATATGGAAAAATAAAACATGTTCCAAACCACCAACCAGATATATAATGTTAATTATAATGTTATATATATATATATACGTAGAACAAACATTCCAAGAACTTGAAGTTTCTGCAGTCCCATTTCGCGCTATATTCTGGCATTTTTTCTGAATTCCATCTATTTTTCCACCGGGTCCAGGCAAACGAGTCGGACTCTGAGCAACCCTCCTGATTTGACCACTAGGTCACTAGGACTTTTTGGGTGGGTCTTGAGGCTTTCAACATTTAAAAAACACTTATACTGGTTGGTGGTGCAATAACCATCTTGAAAATGATGGAGTTCGTCAATGGGAAGGATGACATCCCATATATGAAATGGAAAAGAACAAATGTTTGAAACCACCAACCAGTATATGTCTTATATAAATCAGAAACCAATATTTTTGCCTCCAATAGAAAAAACACAACATGATATACAACATGTCTATCTGGTCGTTGTCATCTGACATGCGTTTCTCAAGTCACCCCGTATGTGCCCTTCAGCAATCGATTTACCCACACAAAAACCCTTCGAAATCGCAGTTTGCCTGTCGCCGGTCCAATCACTACACTTGCGGCTCACCATGGATCATGCTCCCCCATGGCTGGGAAATCAGAAATATTGAATGTGGTACACCCTGGCCTACGCAGTGCTGGCAGGTTTAGCCCGGGGTGAATCCCACATTTGAAAGGTTCCCTCACTTCCCGCAGGCAACAAGTACCTCAAAATCAGGATCTTAAGTTATCGGAGAGTCCTTAGTCCTTAAACGAAAAAACAATCACCCAGCCACAACCCCAAAAGAACCACTAAAATCAACATCTCGAGGCGATGAGACCTTTTCAAAATTCGAAATTATTTAAAAACACTTAAACCAAACTCGAAAGCATATACCCTCTGGTAATGACTAACATAGCTATTGAAAATAACTCATAGACATAGTTGATTATTACCTATTCAAATGGTGTTTTTCTATAGTTTTTGGTATGTTTGCCAGAGGCTAAAGACCGTCCATAGTGAATCCATGTTGATCCCTTAAAAACCCGCAGCAAACGAAGCGGCGTTTCCCCTTTCCGCCATGGTTTCCCAACACAAGAAGGACCAGAAATGCTCATCTAACATATACTTATAGAATTATCATATGATCGAAGGAAGTTTAGAAGTCAAACTTCCGACAATATGGAGAGATGAAAAGCAGAGCAGGGAAGAGGCATAGAGAAGAGAAAGATTAGAAGAGAAAGAGTAAGAAGACAGAAGATTACAGATGCGCGAAAAGGTAGGAAAGTCGCGAAACACTGTGTTTTTACAATGATTTTTGGCTCCGGAGGGTCGACAAGTAGGCTCGCTAAAGCGGCGGGTGCGGAGCCAGCTGGCCAGAGGAGAGATGAAAAATTGCACACCGTTGTGGCGCGAAGCACATTTCCAAGTGAAAATGTACAAAGCACACCATTCTCGGACCACTTTTGGAAGTTGCGATGTCGAAAAAGTGCACGCCGTTGTGGCGCGAAGCACATTTCCAAGTCAAAATGTACAAAACACACCAGCGTCGGACCACTTTTGGAAGTTATGATGTCGAAAAAGTGCACGCCGTTGTGGCGCGAAGCACATTTCCAAGTCAAAATGTACAAAACACCGCAGCTCGGACCACTTTGGAAGTTGAGATGTCGAAAAAGTGCACGCCGTTGTGGCGCGAAGCACATTTCCAAGTCAAAATGTACAAAACACCAGGTTCGGACCACTTTTGGAAGTTGAGATGTCGAAAAAGTGCACGCCGTTGTGGCGCGAAGCACATTTCCAAGTCAAAATGTACAAAACACACCAGGTTCGGACCACTTTTGGAAGTTGAGATGTCGAAAAAGTGCACGCCGTTGTGGCGCGAAGCACATTTCCAAGTCAAAATGTACAAAACACATGTCTCGGACCACTTTTGGAGGTTCAGATGTCGAAAAAGTGCACGCCGTTGTGGCGCGAAGCACATTTCCAAGTCAAAAGTGTAAAAAAACTGAGGGTTTTGAGCCTTTTTTGACGTTAAGATGTCGAAAAAGTAGACATTGATTAACTTAACTAACTTGACTAACTTTAACTTAACTTCACTAACTTAACTACCCTAATTTCGACGACAACAGCAACAGCAACAGCAACAGCAACAACACCATGAGGGAGACACGTCAGACAAATGTGCTAGATTTCGTCATGTGTTTCTGGTCTGTTGTGTTAACGCTGTAGGAGCTGTTGAAGTTTCAATTTCGGAATATGAGGATCGTATCAGTACACGGTAGATGGATGGATTCGAATGGATCGATAGATCGATAGATAGATTGATAGATAGATAGACAGTTACACAGATAAATACCACTGCACTCCATTACACCATCTTCCACTACACTTCACTACATTACACTCCTCCACTAAAATACAACTACACCTGCAACTCCACAACTACACTCCACTACACTACACTGCACTCAATGACACTCAATTACACTTCATTGCAGACAGACAGACAGACAGACAGACAGACAGATAGATAGATAGATAGATAGACAGGTAGACAGCTAGACAGCTAGACAGATAGACCGATGAAAGAGAGAGAGAGAGAGATAGATAGATAGATAGATAGATAGACAGCTAGACAGATAGACAGATGAAAGAGAGAGAGAGAGATAGATAGATAGATAGATGGATAGATAGATAGATAGGTAGAAAGATAGATAGATAGATAGATAGGTAGATAGGTCGATAGGTAGATAGGTAGATAGGTAATGAGATGAAAGAGAGAAAGAGAGAGATAGATAGCTAGATCAACAGATAGATAGATACATACAAGATAGGCTGGTAGGTAAGTAGATAGTCAGAGAAAGAGAGAAAAAGAGAGGAGACCTCAAGCACCTTTCGGTCCATCAGTGGCTTCGCTCTGCCATCCCTGATTCACAAGAACCAAGCTCTCCTATAGGTTTCCTATTTTTGAAACTTCCGCCACCGCCTTGCGCGGTACTACTGGTATAATGTTGGTAAAACGTCATCATAAGCCATCCTAAAAAAACACCATTTTTTGGTTGGTGGTATAAAACCATTCCCACATGGGTGGTTTATTATTGTTTTGACAACATTACTAAAAATCTGTCTGAAACCATCAGCCATTTTCAAGGCTGCTGCCTGAACCGTTCATGTATTCTACACGCACAAGGCCGTCGCTCACATATGTTTCAAAGGCTAAATTGAGAGTCAAGGTGCATATTGTGGGTCCTGTTCTATCTGTCCATATGATACTTCGCGAAAAAACATCGTACCTGCACTGAATCTAACCAAAAAAGAAAGGGCTCAACACACACACACACGAATTGGCACCCTCCGGTAAACTAACATAACTATGGAAAATCACCATGTTTAATGGGAAAATCAACGATTTCTATCGCCGTGTTCAATAGCTATAAAATCATGTAAAGTCCATCACGTGGTGATGCACGCGGCAGTGCGACCACCAGCATTTTCCATTTTGAGGCACTATGCACATCGGGTGAGAAAGGTCGATGACAGAGTCATGGTTGAAATGCCACCGGAGTCACGAAAAATCAGAACAAAAACACATTCATAGAAAGCAATGGAAAACTTGTAAGCTATCGTTTTTCATTTTTCTCTTGAGCGATCTCTTACATGATGACAATTGATCTTCTGGATGTGTCACACACATTGGACTAGCCATGGGGACACAAACTTTCGGATTCAATCGAAGAAATGTGAAGGCGGTTTATCATCAAAGGTATGATGGACATCAAATCAACCGCCATCCAAAAGACTTTGAACAAACATCCTTACCTAGTTGGTGGTTTCAACCCCTTTGAAAAATATGAAAGTCAGTTGGGATGATTATTCCCAATATATGTGAAAAAAATGTTCCAAACCACCAACCAGCTTACAATATCTGACATCGGTTCTTGAAATCTCATTTTTTTTCCCCAAGTTCGTCCACATTTCCCAAATAATTTAGTCTGGGTAAATTTCATCACGACCTCACTGCGACCGAGTCCTGGAATCATGGTTAATAAGAGGAATCATCCCCAAATGGCCTTAATTCATGTTGGGCAGGGACCGCAAGAAGTTGGTGGCCTTAATTCAGGTGAGTGAATTATTATAATTTACCCAGATTTAGTGATGTCCTATAAAAAGCAACAAAAACGGGTTCTGCATGCCGTATGCCATTGATCGCTCAAAAATGGTGGCTTTCCCCTCTGTTCACCAACCAAAGGATCAGCAGTGTGTTTGGAAACTATACCCCCTATTTCTTGGGACAAATTCATGACTCTCTCATGAAATGGAATTTGTGTTTTCTCCAACGTCTTCAAATACCAAAGCCACATCTTGTTTGTTCATCATCCCTGTTTTTTCGGACCCCCGGGGTTGTGACATGAGGAACTCCATGCCGCACCGGACATGGTCCATGAAACTACGCCTTTCACAACAGATCTCAAAGGCGAAGAGCCACTCCGCCTTGGGGGCGGTTACCCGGTTGGGACTTGAGAGATTCGTCCTTTTCTCACCTTGAGATTGCGCGCTAGCAAAATTAAAATCCAAGAGCTAAATGATAGATTATATATTAGAGGGGCAGCTACTTCAAAAAAAACATGGATACCCTCTGGTAATTTAACATAGCTATGGAAAATCACCATCAAAATTATAGGTAAATCAACTATTTATGTGTGCCATGGCTTCTACAGCTATGTTAAATAACCAGAGGATAAACTCATATTTAGATCATTTTAGATTTATACCACAGCCCATCCCTTTAGACATTTCCCAAGGACGGTGGACGGCGATATTTGAATTTGGTTCATCTATCCTCTATCGGTCGCCTTTTTTCCAAATTCACCTGATGAAACATGCCCCGGCTTTTCTGAAAATGGATGATATAATAGTGATTGTATATATATATATATATATATATTTGTATTAGGTATATTACTATATTGGTCCATCACCTCATGTTTCAGTATATGTTCATAGGTTTCACGATTGATGATCATCCGATCATCCCCCTTTTGAACAAAAAACACCTCATAAATTGGACCATTGTACCATGCAAAAAAATCGAAGTTCACCATGAAATCTACCATGAATCAATAATCGTCATTTCCAGGAGAAAGCTCTGAGATTCTATAGCCGAGGGCACAATGCTTGGATGGAAAAAACTGTATATATATATATACTTTTATAAACGTGTATGTATATACATATATATATATATGCATATATATATATATATATCATACACAATCAATTATAGATACAGTTTAATATAATTATATATAGATATAAGTACACAATGTGTACGTGTATATATATAATATATTCACATATTGTGCGATGCAACGCCCAAACAGTTTGCTCAAAGAAATAGACTCTATGGTTGGAATCGGAGACGTGCCACTGATCAAGTCATAAGTAAAGATCATCTACAGCATCCTTAAAACATCCATCAGTTTCATTTATGTGGGTCTGAAAATAGGCTATATAAACCTAAATCCATCTACCCTCTGGTAAACTAACATAACTATGGAAAATCACCATTTTTAATGGGACAATCCACTATAAATGGCAATTTTCAATAGCTTTTTGTATGTTTACCAGAGAGTAAATCCATCTGAATCTGCTGAAGTTGAAGACCTCGAATATTCCCGTTGATTTGGAGGTTTCCGTTTTGTCATGGGGCTACCCCATGGTAAACCATCCATTTATAGATGGATTTCCCATGGTAAATCACCAGCTATTGGGGTACCTCTATGGCTTAGGAAACCTCCAAATCCTCATTTATAGTTCCATGAATTTCCCATTTATGATATATCCCATTTGTAGATATATATATAATTTATATATATATATATCCCATGTATGATATTTCCTAACTAGATTTAAAGATTAAATGACCATTTAAAAGGAACGGCGTCACCATTGACACATTCAGCACTCTCAAGCAGGATCCGACCTGAAACTGTTTGAACTGGTCGGCACCGGTCTAGGACTCCTGATCGTGGGGCGGCTTGTGTCTACAGTAGCTGGTTTGCAGGAATGATTACTACTAGTTGATTAAAGTATATTACTGTAAATATCCCCAAAAAGATAGAAATTCGGAAGTGTCCACTAAACTTGAGGCCGGGGGTGGATGACGAAAGCTAGCGGAGTAGGAGAAAGAAGGAAGGGAAGAGGTGAGTTGCGGAGGGACTGTCATCATCGTGTCGCGGCATTGTTCGTCCCAACGAGGATGCAACAATGATATATTGATATATGATATATAACAATGATATATATGGGGGAGGGGGCAGGGGGGGGGCCCTTTCGCGGGAAAAATCACGTGATGTCCTTGGGGAGCCCCGGAATACGTGCTAAAGCAAGAAGACTCTAGCGAGCTGACGCTAGCTTTCGTGATAATGACAATAATTGCCAATAATGATAAAATGTAATTGAATAACGATGATGATGATGATGATGATGATGATGATGATGAATGATGAATGATGAATGATGAATGATGAATGATGAATGATGAATGATGAATGATGATGATGATGATGATGATGATGATGATGACGAGGATGATGATGATGATGATGATGATGATGATGATGACGATGACGATGACGATGACGATGACGAGGACGATGACGAGGACGACGATGATGATGATGATGATGATGATGACGAGGACGAGGACGAGGACGATGGAGAGGACGATGACGATGACGATGATGATGATGACGATGATGATGACGATGATGATGATGATGATGATGATGATGATGATGGTGGTGATGGTGGTGATGGTGGTGGTGGAGGGGGGGGGGGGCCCCCCTTTCGCGTGAAAAATCACGTGATGTCCTTGAGCAGCCCCCCCAATACTTGCTAAAGCAAGAAGACTCCAGCTAGCTGACGCTAGCTTTCGTGACTAGTGATAGATTTCTATAGTAAATGATTAACGTAATCCCCAAAAAGATAGACATTCGGATATGTCCACAGTGACAAATCATGAAATTCTATCTTTTTTGGCGACTATACTATTCGGAGATGTTATCGTTAATGCCTAATGGTTGACATCAACTTCCAAGAAGAGTTGCTTCGTCCTTCTTTGGGGAATGTGACATAGTTCAAACATCTTCAAAGCATAACAAGATCAAATACTGGTTGGTGGTTTTAACCATCTTGAAAACTATGAAAGTCAATGGGAAGGATTATCCCATACATTATGGAAAAAAAAGATGTTCCAAACCACCAACCAGATAAAAAGATCAAATAGGTTTGGGTCAACTCTGGATACTGTACTCCATTTCATGAACTGGTTTACATCATCAAAAGTCTCATCACTGGCCCCCTGAGTCTGTGATACTGACCCAACCATCAAATTTAGTGAGTAATTCAGTGAGTAGTTAAAAAACATCAACTTAGCTACAACTTAGCCAACGCAATTCCCTGAAATCCCCTTGAATCCCCTCATTTTTGGTGGTTTTGATTTGCTAAGACCTGAACGCCGCGCCGCGCGAAGCGCGCCGCTCCTTTGATCACGAATCGCTCGTACGGATGTCGGCGGGCTTCTTCCTGTAAGCCTGACCCATTGAACCGGAGGTTTTTGGGCGAGATTTTCCGGTTCATGCTATGAATGGTTTCATATTATTGGTTTAATCACGTTTAAAATATGGTAGTTTCCACCAAACATGCATGGTTTAATATAGTAATGTGATTTTAAATCACAACTTGGGGATGATTTTTGGGAACCCCTTTTTTCAGGCACCTTCAATCAGTTTCTCCATGCTGTCCGTAGTGGCCATCCTTAGCGCAACGCTGAAAAAAGATGGGACGTTTCCTGGTTTTTTTAAGCTATGAAAACCTAGACTGACCAAGGCTGAGATATGTTTGGATTGATGGTGATGAAACAGTTTTCACAATCCAATGGAGGTTAGAAAAACTACAAAACTAATGATTATTACCCAATGAACAATGGATCACTGGATGTGTGTTGGATTAGAAACAATGAACAGTGGATCCGTTAATGGAGGTTAGAATCTAATCCAAACATCCCTGCACCACATTTTTTACCTACATTAATGGTTTTTTGTGTTGGCAATTTCAAGCAAACCTGGCAGCAACACATGGATCACTGCCTACATTTGGCTGTACCATACACGGATGGTATGAGAATTGGATGTCCCCACAAACTTTGAGGGTTTTTATCATCACTCTTGCCTTAATTGCCAACCCGCTTACAATAACATGGGAACAACATGGGTGTGTCTGAAAATGTGATTGCAGTTGTTCCAAAAAAAATGCAATTGAATATCATGTGGTAGAATATCACGATGATTTAAAACAATCTACTTACAGTACTGGTGCTTAGTAGGGAATGGATGGGACTGGGGGAATTGGATGATTATTACTACTGATTATGGATCATTCCCATCCATTCCCTGCGTTTAGCACCAGTAAGTCTAAGGGCGAATCCGCGATTTTTGAACAAACCAAGACGATCATTCGAACTTCCAAGGCTTGACTCTGGAGTTCTTGGCCAAAATTCTTAGAGTTTCCCCATCATGTTTTGCCCATGGTTGATGTTTGAATCCCAGTTTGTGTTGTCTAATTCTGCTCACCATCTCCCACTTTAGAGCATTTGTTGATAATCATAAGAACATGTTTCTTAACCATTATACATGCACATATATATATATATATATATATACATGTAGATAGATAGACATGATCCCGTAGTTCGTCGTCCTCAGCCCCCCATTGGTATGGTCTCCCAGAGGCCCCGACCCCTCCTCCTTAGTACCATGTGACTGGGGGGAATCATCGTACACCAGCTATTTTATTGGAGGCTACCAGGTTTTTTTTCCCATAACCGTTAATACTCCCATATACTTCCCATATGCTACCCATAATACTACTATACTATATACCATCTGTTGAATCTGTTCCCCATATACTATTTTATGCTGCACGTGCACTTCTGTATCATAGTTAGTAAATCTCCCTTTATACTTCCATATATATATTGCCTATATGCAACTTACATACAACCTAGGCACAACCCAGATACTCTCTATATAAGAAATATAACGTACCTACTACTTGAGTATATAATACCTGTAAAACTACCTATATACTACGTACCCATATACTACCTCTAAACTACTTGGAAAACAAACATATTCCCCATATACTACCATAACCCCCACCCACACCCACGGGAGGGCGGGGGACCCCATACCGATGTATATATATATATATGTGTATATGCATATAGTGCTACTTTTTTTGCTATCTTTCTACTACAATACAAGTACCATCTACTGCCATATAACCCCCCACACCCACCCACAGGGGTGCGCGGGCGGTGTATCACTGTTAATCCCGCCATTGGCATTGGGGGAGGGGGGAGAAGCTGAGGAAGGCGTTGGAAAGGGATGTATGCAAAAAGGCTCTTGAAAATTGGTTATACAGTTATACACGGTTATACATACCATCCCATCAACATGACGACCCAAATCGAGCTTGGAAAATGGCTTTGCGCATGTTTCCATTGCTGCCGTGGCTTCAGCTCGAAGATGCGCCGCTCGATTCGCTGCCGCCGGTCCTTCTTGGGCCGCGCCTTTGTCTCGTCGTCGTAAGCTTCGTGAAACGATGGACGTGGCAGAAGTTGCACCTGGATTCGCTGGATCTGGTGGGATTGAGTATTGGATTTAGTTAGCTCAGTTGGTAAACATTTACTAACATCTACTAACTAAACTATAGGTTAACGGTTCGGTTTATGGTGATTACAACCATCAATTTATCATAATTGTATACATGGGGTTTCCAAGCCCAGAAACTGGCGGGTCACCACCCTCTGTTTTCCAGGTTTCCATCTGTTCTATGTGGGGGTTGCAAAACACGGCACCAGTATTCACCGGGATACTTGCATAATGGTGGTGTCATGGTAATTATTGATAATTATCATGGTGGCTCAAAACATAATGAGGTATGTATAATATATATATAATATATAATATATATATATATTCCACAGCGTCCTACTCTCTCTCTATATATGTATATATAATAACAATGATAATTAATAATACTAATAATAACAATAATAATAACACTCATAATAATAATAACAACAATAATAATCCTTAAAATCACCTTGGTGCTTTACAAGGAGTAAAATGCGAGGTGAATTTTGTAAACCAATAGCATAAACTTACATAAACTTACCAAATAATGGTTGGTATTGGCTGGTTTTTTGTGAGATAAAACTATTGTAATGTGCCATGAAAACACCATGATTAAAATGCCAGAAACCAATACGTATATGGTGGTAAGGAGTACAACTCCTCTTTTTGGGTCTCAATCCCAAGCAAAAATATGTTCGGTCCTTAGGGATCATCAGATCTCACCACGGAAAATTACGAGAAATGGGGATGATGTCATCATGAATTCATATATATATAATATTATAAGTTAATATAATGGTGACAATATTAATGATATGTTAATCATGCTTGAGAATGGTTGATAATGGTGATGTACTATATCTGGGTAAATTTGATCACGACCTCACGTCGCGACCGAGCCCTGGAATCATGGTTAATAAGAGGAATCATCCCCAAATGGTCCATTGCTTCCATCTCTATTTATATATATATATTACCCTTCAGTAAATTAACAGAGACCCTGCCAGAAAACGGGTTTGGAAGACTAGTTTCCACTACAAATTGGTCATTTTCAGGGTCGAACTGTTAATTTACCACAGGGAAAAACATATATCTACATAAACCACCATTTGCCAGAGCCATTCATTTCCGAAAACCATATCTCGATCCATTGCTGAAGCCAACTAAAAATGGTTTCCGACAAACCAGCAGTGGTAGCCCCCAAGTAATTCCATTAAAATGCTTAAGGACCGGATTCCCAACACTGAATTATGATAATCCCACGTATATTGGGTATAATGTATATATATATATATACATACACATACATATATACATATATATATATATACATACATATATATATATACATACATATATATATATATATGTGGCAGGGACCTTTGGGGTCTATTTCCGATCATATATATATAATATATATATATATATATATAAATTATATCCTATAATTGCCTATAATACATCAACCAACAGGGTTTCAAACACTGCTCAGAGTCTTCTGCTTGGATGAGAATAGCGCAAGCTCTAAAGACTAACAGATCTGACAGACTCTTGAACCCCAGACATGGTCACAGAAAAGGCTTCACTCATCTGGCCTTGACACGCCTCGAGGTTGGCGCAAAGTCAGCCAAACCAAATCAACTTAAACTTTAAACTACATAACATAACTAAATATAAGATATATAACGACCACTGACCACACACCACTCCATTCGGAATTATCAGAATTGTGAGAAATCCCATGCCTTCACGAGGCAAGTCCGGGGTTTCCCCGCTGTCCGGTTTCTCGCTGTCCCCTTCGTCAAGCTGCCGATCTCCGCTTTGACAACCTCTCTTCGAGGCAAAGAAGACACATGGATCGCAGCAATGACTTGCCATTGCCCATGAAACCGTGGCCCAACAGCAATGTCGCACTGAACGAACTGGATCTGGCGATGGGATAAAGTGGGGACAGTTTCTGGGTCCCTCAATGATCACTGAGCAAAAGGGGAAAATTGGTGAAGAACACTTCAAGAAAGCGTCCCCACATCTGCAAAATCGCATCTACCCTCTGGTAAACTAACGTATCTTTCTGGAAAATCACCATATTTTTCATGGGTATTCATGGGTACCCTCGCGTCACTGCTGTCTGGGCCGTTCTTTTCCATAGCAGTCAAAAGCCGCCTTTGAGCAGGAAACCGCCCGGTAGTGGAAGTTGATTGCTGGGAGCTGCTCATATCTTTACATTCACAAGAGCCTCATAATTGGATGTCCATTTTAAGGGATAGTTGCCACTACTAACCATATACTAACCATCATGGACCAGGCTTCGGGAGACCAGTGAGGTCGTGATGAAATTTACTGTATCCATATGTTTACTGATAAAATCCGATGTTTCATGGTTACATCTTCCACTTGTATATCGACGACATCGCTGAAAATCTCTGGCAGCCAGTGAATCACCTTGAATTCTGATGGTGATGACTTTGAACCACGCTCATGAATAATCAATGTATATATATATATTACATAAATACCAGGTCGATGAGTGCTTTCTGGAAATCTATTATTTCCCTGCAGCAGAACAATCCCTACAAAACAATACCAACTCCCAAATTAATGTACACCCTGCCAAATATGGGGCTGGAAGACAAGGTTCCTCCTCAAAAAATCTGGTAACATCCAATTATGCAATTAATATCCCATTCAATCCCATTAAATGCCATGAAATGCCATACAATCCCATTAAATGCCGTGCAAAATCCCAATGAATGATATGACTAGCTTCGATACCACAACAAATGCCATTCAATGCCATTAGAAACCCACTAGAAACCCATCAGAGATTGTTTTTTTCGCTGAGCCTAGCGGTGCCACGAAGTGCACCAAGCTCCTCGTTGAACTTGCCAACCTTTGGCCACCGGTGAACCATCGTAGAGATGATAATCCATAGCTATGTAAACCAACATGTTGGTTTGCCGGTAAGTATCAAACATGGGTAAACCAACATTTGTGTATCCTTGATTAATTAATCATTAATATCTTATTAATATTATTATAAAACTGGTGAATCCCATTGAAAATTCATATGGATTATATGGAAAACAATACATACATAGTATGGGTTTTCAGACGTGGATTCACCATCCAGTTGGTATGAAGAAACAATGTACGCGAGCCTGTGGAGTTATCCTCTGGTAAAATGCTACAGTTTGCGAACTGGTATAGATGGCCCATATAGAAATACCGATGGTTTACCTATGCAAAAAATGGTGATTTTCTATAGCTATGTTAAATTACCAGAGGGTATGTTTGTTGGTTTGTGTTTACCCATTCAATTGTAGATGTCTCAAAATCCAAGTTGCTGGAGGTATAAATCAACAACCCATCATTGGGGCCCACTGTATTTGGGGCCCAGCACCCCTGGATGTCCATGATGCAAAGTAGTTGATGCCATCAGCGAATCTGTGTCAAATGGGAATTCAGATGACTCATCATACATTTTTCCCATGTGGTAGTCGCAATCCAACATGAACCAGATGGTGAAATGAGTCATATGTACTGATATATTATTAAATTTGTTTCAGTATTGGAACCAAATCAGGAAGAGATCGTTTTTTCTAGATCGTGGGTTTCCGGAGCGGTGGTTGCGATTAAATGGAAGTGACCAGTAAGTATCAAAGAACACATTCATATCTGTATATTATATATATATATACATATGTATGTATATATATATATAATATATATATATATATATCGATTGTGCAACTGTAGTTGACTATGAACACGGACCAAGATTAATTACTCACAAACACCGGGGTTTGCCCAAACAAAGCTCACATGGATGGAAGCGTAATCCGTCTCTGGAGCAATTCTCGATCACACTTTGTGCACCTTCGGATGGTGAGTAAGACCCGTCGTAATAATTGACAGTCAATTTCACCTTGTCGTGTTTTATCAAAGGTTGCAAACTAAGGACTATTTCGAATGAACCAGGTAAGATATATAATTAGTATGTTAATTAAGATACCATCTGGTTATTTAACATAGCCATGGAAAATCACCATGCTATTAATAGGTAAACCATCTATTTCTATGGGGGCTTTACTACCGAAACTACTGATCAAGACCAGCACAACATCGTCCCAATTGGATCCCGACCATGGAGCAACAGCTTGCAATCTCTGGCTTTTTGGAACTGCCGATCCATGCAAAAGGAGAAAGAGTCCCCTAAAGTAAATATGTCATAATATGTCTATTCACTATTGTTTTACTTTTCTATTGTTCCCCACCTGCCAGGTGAGGGTTGTTAGATTTTATCAGAGCTGTTCTCCTCCTCCTCCGCCTCCTCTGCCTCCTCCGCCTCCTCACCCGCCGCCTCCTCCTCGCAGTCCAGATCCCAGTGGGCACAGCCGCACCTCCACCGCAGAGTGGGCACTGCCGGACCTCAGATCCCAGTGGGCACTGCCGGACCTCAACCGCGACTTTACAGATCGCAGTGGGCACTGCCGGACCTCAACCGCGACAACAGACTTCCAGATCGCAGTGGGCACTGCCGGACCTCAACGGGAAGAATGTCAGAAAAGATGTCAGATAGAATGTCAGAAGATATGCCAGATAGAATGCCAGAAAGAATGTCAGAAAGAATGTCAGAAGATATGCCAGACAGAATGTCAGAAGATATGCCAGAAAGAATGTCAGAAGATATCCAGATAGAATGTCAGAAGATATGCCAGATAAAATGCCATGAGATATGCCAGATAGAATGCCAGAAGATATACCAGATAGAATGCCAGAAGATATGCCAGATAGAATGCCAGAAGGTATGCCAAATAGAATGCCAGATAAAATGTCAGATAGAATGCCACAAAATATGCCAGATAGAATCCCAGAAGATTTGCCAGATAATATGCCAGAAGATATGCCAGATAGAATGTCAGATAGAATGCCAGAAGATTTGCCAGATAGAATGCCAGAAAATATGCCATAAGATATGCCAGATAGATATGCCAGAAGATATGCCAGATAGAATGCCAGATAGAATGCCAGATAGAATGCCACAAAATATGCCAGATAGAATCCCAGAAGATTTGCCAGATAATATGCCAGAAGATATGCCAGATAGAATGTCAGATAGAATGCCAGAAGATATGCCAGATAGAATGCCAGAAGATTTGCCAGATAGAATGCCAGAAGATATGCCAGAAGATAGGCCAGAACATATACCAGAAGATATGCCAGATAGAATGCCAAAAAAAATGTCAGAAGATATGTCAGATAGAATGCCAGAAGATTTGCCAGTAAGAAAATGTATAAATGTCATGGTGGGGATCACACGAAGTAAAGTATACGGTATTTTTTTGTTTTATGTTGAATTTTTATGGTGTTCCTCTTTTCTTCATGAAAGTGTTCCACTTCAAACTCATTTTGCTGTGGTTAATCCAGCATTTACCCCAAGACCTAGAAATGACCGCACCCCTCTCCAGCTATCCCATCCTATCCCTACCTGCTCGTCGTGTTGCTTACACGCCGTAGCCAAAGCATTCATCACTCGGTCCTACAAAAACACCATGGAGCTTCAATGAAGAACCATAGGGATTTATGAGATTCATACAAATATGTCTGGGATGTGTGGTGGATATCTTTGGGATATCTGGATGAAGTTAACATAGCTCCGGAAGCTGCCACGGCTCATTTAGTTTGATGGTTTACCCATTTACTTATTATTTTCTCAAATGGCTGTAGTCGCATTCTTTCAATTTAACGTGTTTTCCGGATAAATGTAACTATCTCAAGGATTTGAACTTTGAATTTGATGATAGGTCATTTTTCTCAAACCAGGGCAACATTTCCAGCCATGTTGACTGTTTACAATGAAGAATAGGTTAGGGATTAGGGAGGTCCAATTCGGAAGACTTGACAATACGACTCCGCGTGTGAGAAAGAACACAAGCACGGATCCTGCAGCGTGCTTGCTCCGGGGCTACTTGCTCAGTCAGGGCTAATGTGCTGGCTTGGGACAACGGGCCACGCAAAACATGGTTTTCCTGTGTTTTTTTCCTTTTTTTGTTTCTCCGTTTTTTTCCGTTTCTTTTGGAAAAAAAAACGAGATGGCAACGTACCATTGAGAAAGCAACGTTGCAATGTTTATTGGTTTTTACAGGTCCCGGACACTTCGTGCTTTCCCAAGGGGTACATGCTATCTCCGAGGTTCGCCCAAAAAAATAGAAAATACAAAAATAAAAAAAACCAGCCGAGAAGGAACCCTGGGCTGAGGAAGCACCTTACCCTTGGGTTAAAATATAGGTTCAGGGGGGTGCATGGGGCTGCGGGCTGCTCACTTTTGCATTTGAACATATTTTTTGGTGGAATGGGAAAACAGGGCAAGAGTGCGACTCTGCCGGTCAGGATGTCAGCTGACTACTTCATCCGAAGCAATTTTGTAAAAAAATGAAAGAACAGATGGGGGTTGAAGTGAAGCGATCAAAAAGGGGTTTAAAGTGTTGCAGACCAAAACAGTTGAGATAGACACGTTAATTGAGAGAGAGAAAGCTTGCACCCACAGATCTTTGATTTTCATGGTAGTTGGTCATAGCTGTGTAACAAATTACGAGCGTGGATGTAGATAGAAATCCGTTTCAGAATCAGGACTTCAATCTCTAGGTGCTACCCGGCTACCCTCCAGTAAATTCAACATGTATACGGAACACCCTCCATTTGTCGTAGATCGTTGTCCTAGGGAAACCATGCCAAAGCCGTTCTGTGGCTGGCCTTGCCAAAACTGCCAGTCTAAAACTCTGGATTTCATCCATCAATTTGGGGGGCTGCAGATTCGGTCAATGCTGCTTAGTAGCCATCCAATACCCAATCATCAATTCTTGGTACATCTTGGTACCCAATCTTTGAAGCATGCCAAATCTACTATCTATCTGCATCAGCCAAATGT